ATTTACATTTCTTACTACCAAATATTACTCTAAGCTATACATTTGAGGGAGGGGTTGATATTGTGATGTTATGTCATGAACTTTGATGAACTTTGATATTCATGCAATGTTTCTTCACTAAAATAATCATTAAGGCAATTTGAAATAAACTGGTTCATTATTACTAGAATACCTGATAGGGAGTTGTAAAACAGCTAAATGGTTCAAGTCTAAATGGTTCAAGTGTAACATTTTGTTATGCACAGTATTTTGATTTATATGTGTTATTATAGATACCCATAAATATACTTTGTAAAGTATGCACATGCATATTATTACTGTTTACGTCATATTGTTCTAATATGTCAAAAATAATCACAAGAAACCATGGGCATCATTTTCCACAAGAGGATTAAATAATTCTGTACTTTTAATGTATTTCTCTACGAGTAACCATGCTGCACTGTTGTTACCCAAATACTCTGGATTATAAATGATTCCCATTCAATATAACAAACAAGATGGTGTTTTATTTTGTCTGCCTGCATTTTGATTTGGTAAGAATGTAGCTTGCAAATGCTGGAGTGTGTTTGTAAACCAGCACCAGGGAGTCTATTTATAACATCTATCGATCCAATCAGTACTCACAATATTCTTTTGACACAGGTGAAACTGATTTAATAATTGCATTACATTTGAAGACATTTCACTTTTATTTGTTAGTCTGTCAAGTTTGTTCATTAATTGGCTCATGAAATTATCAACTTCATGAGTAACAACATCTAATTCTACAGGATTACCTGACTGAGGAAATATTTCACTATTTACTTCAAGGTTTTGTTGTTTACTGTACTGTTGAGATTGTGACTCACATGCTCTTATTTCCTGCATGTATTTTATCTTGTTCGCCTTTTAGTCTAAAACTCTTTTTCTGAAGTCGAGGCATTCTAAATAATGATAATATTGAAACAAGACAAGAATGTCACAGACCCGTTATTTAAATATAAAATACTCATGTTAAAATAATATATTGAACATCTGCAAACAATTAAATTAATATGTACTCCATGTGAGTACAACTCATCATAAAGTGATTTCCCTTAATCTGATAACTTTCATTGACCCAGGTCCAAACTCTCAGAGTACACAAGTGCAACCAAACACAAATCTGAGTAAACCTTGATGTACCTTTAATAACAACTTGACTTCCTTGTTAATTCAGATCTTTGTATATTACCAGGATCTGGGTTTGTTTCATTATCACAAGTCCGTGTCATCACATACAACTACCATTGGTGCATTGTCTAGCAGAGTCTACAGCTGCAATCACTATAAGGTCATCT